ATTGGTAATGCTTGAAACGGGAGGGTTGTGGGGCGCGCAGGGTGAGTTTGAGACCTCGACTTTGCGATTAATTCCTCTGTCGTGTATATGCATATGGTCAAGTTGACTCACCTGATGAATGGATTTGCGTGGAAGATGTGAACAGTGGAGGCGGAGGCGTTGTGTGTACGTCGGTACTTCTAGCCAGTACTGGTGCGGCAGTCACGGTGCGCTAGCCTTGCAAGTTTCTGACGTGGCCGATGAGCGAGACGAAGGTGCGGTTGCAAAGAGGACAGGTTGCGATTAACTTCAGATGGTTGATGGTGGGGACGGTGCTGGGGGCGAGGGTGGTGCTTGACGGGCTGTCGGAGTTTTCTCGCCGGTGGTGGAATTGGGGGAGGCGATACTCGCTGTTGACGTCGCTGGGGTTGTAGCGGAGATGCTGAAAGTGGTCGTCGTCGCAGATGCCGCGGTGAGTGGTTTAGGAGGACCGTTGGAGGACGTGCGGTGTGGTCGCTGCGGGTTAGAGGCGCTTGACACTTGTAAGTCGCTCTCTTGGATTTGGAGACGATTCGTTTGGAATTGCTACGATTTTCAGGGCTTTTCTCCAGGCTGGTCGGTCATGATCGAGGTCCTTTCACGCCTCCGGTGTGGTTTTCAAGTGTTTGAGAGATTTCTTCAGGGTGTCCTTTTAACATCCACTTTGTCCTCCTTGTCGACTAGCACCGGTGATCATGCATCCGTAGAAAAGTCGTATGGGGAGGCGCTTCTTATCCATCCTCCGGTGGTGGCCTCTCTAGCTCAGGTGAATTTGCCTCAAAATGACGCTAGCACCGGGAATCTCAGTTTGCATAATGACTTCTGTGTCCGGAATCCCATCTTTCGTCTTAGCTTCAGCATTCTCGAAGGGCAGTCTAGGTGAAAATAGTCGAATTTCCGTGCATACTTCTCGAAAACAGTCTGGGTCTTCGCTCCATACAGCATCGTCGGTAATAGAACACCTTTCTACATTTTGCGTTTGCCGTTAAGATAGAGACCATGACGATTCGGCACTGAGTACTGCAGCCGACCGAACGTCTGGTTGAGTTTGGAGATCCACTGAGCCACCTCGCCGTTGATTTTGATGCTGTGCGAGAGTGAGCAGAGTGCCGGTTACAGTGATGTGAGAATCGTTTTATTCACTGCTGGTTTATGGCTGGCGTATGACCACCGTTAACTTCGTGTTGATGTTTTGTGAGAGCCAATGACACGATTGCCAATCCCAGACTATGGATGCCAGAATAAGACAGGAGTTATGAAAGAAATAATAATAAAATTGAAAAGTCAATTTGGCAAACGCGTGTTTTCGGTAACTCGTCATTAGGCCAAAACAGGTCCACAGAAGTTAAAAATGTGCGAAGTTCACAGAGTTTATAAGTGACTCAGGGGTTATTAACACTCATCGTTCCTACGCCACCCGAATGGCGAGGTCAGCGTGTTATGGTCATTGGGTCGAGGGGGCGGGTGGGAGGGGTGACATAGGTTGTGATTGATGTTTGTAAGTCGGGTACGCTGAGCACACATCATTGCCATCAGGAGGTTGAGGCGACATGCAATCATCATCTGGGGTCGGCGTTGGCCACGAAAGACAGAACGCCTGTATAAACGTCTTCTGACAACATAGCATTAGATTGGCTGGCCGTATAGCCATTGCCTCGGCTGTAGCTGGCACCCGTTGGCGTAGGCCTCTGGAGAAGCTTGCTGGTGTTCGGTGGAGAACTCGGGATGGCCGTCAAAGGGCGGTTCCAGAGGCCGGCGGACTTGATAACATTGACGGTAGACGTGAGAGCACATTTCAAGGTCCATCTCGAGACAAGACAGAGAGGCGGAGACCTGGGCGGGACCGGAGAAATTGTAAAAACTGCCGGAGACGGTTCTGGAGTTTGGTGGGATCCGCGACCGCATCACGAGGATTTGGTGAGATCATCTCACCAGGAAGTGGGACTGTGGTGCCAAAGACCAGTTCAGTTGCGGAACAGTCACGGTCCGGCTTGAGAACGGAGCGGATGCCCAAGGGCGCAGGGAAATATGGTCTTCCGATTCGCTGGATCATTCGCGACGCGTAGGGAGGTTTTTAACTGGTAGTGAAACCGCTCGACCATCCTATTAGCAGCCGGATAATAGCCTGTCGTTAGGATGCGGATACAGTCTAAATAGAAGAGGAGAGATTGGAGGAGGTTAGACTCAAACTGGGCATCGCGGCCAATCGTGGTAGTGGAGGGTGCGCCGAAGATGGCAACCCAAAGACCGAGGAAAGCCTTTGTAGCGGCTGAAGACGTCAAGGGTAGCACACACCGGAGTAAGAAAACGCTGAGAGTAGGTCCTGGAGGAGATAAATTTGAACATAGTCGTTAGAATCTCTGAATACTTATTCACACTCAGCAGAAGATGGTACGCCAGGAACGGGATACAGTATAGCATAACAAGACGGTCATGGGAGATACGTATAATAACAATAGTTACTCGTACAGTTGGAATGAGTTACAGCCATCAGATAACCTGTCTGGATGGAGAGGCGATACCGATATGCCAGCTAGTAAACTGGTGGGGAGCGCAGCGCTGTGGGCAACTGCAGGGAGGGGCCGGGGGAGGTGCCGACGTAGAGTGAGATGGAGGACGGTACGAACGTTGCGATACGATGCGGGAAGAGGGGTCGGCGGAAGTGAGAGGGAAGGGCACCGGTCATCTTCACCAACATGCGGTTACGCCATCTCCACCATGGGTCCTCGCTCGGAAAAGTATCACACATTCAAACAATTCTGTTCAAGTCCAGGGGCGTTAAACCTTGACCACCGTTGGAGAGACAAGGTCAGGCAGGGGGATAGTTTCAGGTCGCTGGTTGAACCAATCCGCGGAAATGAGGAGAAAGGAACAGCCATTGGACAGATGCAGGGGAACTACAATGTCCAGGTAAACGTGGCTGAACCTTGCACCAGGGAGGGGAAAGATGTCAATGGGGGTCTTGTTGTGCCGCTGGACATTACTCCGTTGACAGGCGATACAAACCCGTGTCCATTTTTTTGAGGTCCTTGGGCATCTCAGGTCAGACAAAGCGGTCGGGAACCAGCTTGACGGTAGCTCGGCTCCCAGGGTAGGATAGATTGTGCAGGGAGGAGAAAACTTTTCGGCGGACGGATGGTGGCACAAATGGGCGACGGGTTGGGGTAGGTACGTCACATAGAATAGTACCATTGCCAGTTGTCTGTGGTACAGTAGGTGGGCTAACTCATGAAATGTCAACCGAAATTCCGAAATGCGTTTTCGTTTCGAAAAGATTAATTAAGTAAGGTTGTAAAACTAGTCAGCCTGCAACATAATTCTATAATATTTTAGTTACCTCAGGATGCTGGCTTTCGAATGAACTTCGTTCCGGCTGCATGCAGAAACTACACTCTGTAGAAACGACTACTAAATTGGCATGAATTTTTCGCATTGATTTTCGATGCCCCTAAAAGTCCAATTATATTTCATGGAAAACATGCATAAAAATATTCATTCTTTTGCCCATCCGGTAGATAATTTCGTCGCGTTCCAATTTTATACTCGAAGAGGAGACATAATTCGGTTTTAAAAAAGTTTCTCACTGTGGGACTTTTAAATACGGTAAAAAGGCCGTTCATAAATCGTCATGTCTCTGCATGTTTCAATGAGGCTTGCAAAGTTACCAATATGAATCAGATCCACTGCTTAATTTTTTGAACCCTATGTGGTCCACTTTTATTACTATAGAGAAATGTGCGGTTTTCCGTACGCGGAAAATATACGGCTTGTAGTTTGGAAACCCCGAATACAAATGTAACGGTAGAGCGGGTTCAAAATTATTCTGAAAAGTTTTCGAAAACCGAATTATACCCTTCCTTCTAGTATAAGATTGGAAGAAGACGTTATTATCTACCGAATGGGCAAAAGAATGAATATTTTTATGCATGTTTTCCATGAAATATAATTGGACTTTTAGGGGCATCGAAAATCAATGAGAAAAATCCATGCCAATTTAGTAGTCGTTTCTACAGAGTGTAGTTTCTGCATGCAGCCGGAACGAAGTTCATTCGAAAGCCAGCATCCTGAGGTAACTAAAATATTATAGAATTATGTTGCAGGCTGACTAGTTTTACAACCTTACTTAATTAATCTTTTCGAAACGAAAACGCATTTCGGAATTTCGGTTGACATTTCATGAGTTAGCCCACTTACTGTAGCACCTGAAGTTGAAGTAGGGGAGCCATAGTGAGAGTAAACTCGGCGCCGTTCGGCGGCAATCTTAGCTAGGTCGATCCCGGGTGAAAGCTGAAGTTAAGCGATAGAGGGCCTGGACAGTTTGTCCGCCACTTCGTTTCGTGACCCACTAATCTGGCGGATGTCTGAAGTGAACTGCGAAATGTAGTCCAGATAGCGGATCTCCCGGGGGCTTAGACTGTCAGAGTGGGAATGCATAGCAAAAGTGAGTGGCTTATGATCTGTGAAAACTGTGCACTCTCCATCTTTGAGTAAATGCCGGAAGTGCCTTACGACAAGATATGCGGCGAGAAGTTCACGGCCGAATGTGCTGTAGCGGGTTTCAGACTTGGATAGTTTCCTGGAGTAGAAAGCCAAAGGCGCGGAAGAATCTGGCAGACTTTTTTGAAGAACCGCACCAACACCAACATTGTAGGCATCGGCCATCTTAGATATGGGTGCATCAGCATGAAAGTGAGTCAGTAGTGTGGCATCAGCCGGAAGGGCTTTTACCTTCTCAAATGACGTGAGTGCTGCTTAGAACCTACGAAGAGACTAGTCAGTGGGAGGATGGTGTCGGCACAGTTCGGAAGAAGCCGGCGATAAAAGTTCACCATACCGGGCGTTCGTTACAGCTGACGCTTCGAGGTAGGAGGTGGAAAGTCCCGAATGGCGGCAAACTTTGCGGGAAGAGGCCGAATGCCGTTAGCGTTGATCTTATGACCTAAGAACTCAAGAGGTGTGGCTCCTGAGGTACATCTTTGAGGATGCAGGGCGACACCAAACCGCTCAACTTGGTCGAAAAGTGCATAGGGTAAGTTGCTGAAGATGCCCATCAGCACCCCGACCGGCGATTAGAACATCGTCACTATAAGCATAAACAATTAGAAGGCCACCTATAGCACGGTCAGTGAAACGTTGGGCAATCTGTAAGGCATTTCGGAGACCAAATGGCATACGAAGAAATTCAGACAAGCCAAAAGGGGTTGTCACTGCCGTCTTGGGAATGTCTTCAGCCACAATCGTAATTTGATGAAAAGCCCGGATCCAATCGATCTTCAAGAAAACGGTATTGCCAAAGGGCGCCCTGGCAAAGTGCTGAAGGTGAGAAACCAGATACCGGTCTGCATGACGATATCGTTCAGGGCTCTATAATCGCCGTAAGGTCGCCGATCATCCGCTTGTGGTTTAGGAACCATATTCAAAGGAGATGCCCAGGGGCTGTTAGACTGTCAAATAAGCCCTAGTTGCAACATGTGGTCTCATTCAGCCTAAGCAGCCGCAAGACGAGTGAACGCAAGACAAGGGGTGCGAGAGAAGACAGGAAGACCAGTTGTTTTTATGTGGCGAACAACATTATGGGGCAATAAGGAGTCAGAAAAGAAGGGTTTAGTGAGAGTGGGATATTTCGCTAAAAGTTTACGAAATCGACAGTAAAGGTTTGGGTCAAGGACAGATAGACGGTTGGAAGCTGGGAGTGGGTGAAAACCGTTGAGGGAGAGGGTAATGGTTCGATCATAAAGGCGAATTTGTCTGTAGTTAACCATAAGATCGAAAGCTGTTAGAAAGGCAGCACCAAGGATAGCAGTAGGAACATCAGCCACCATAAAGATCCGAGGGAGAAGTCGTCTGAGATCAATGCCAAGGGAGATGGATCGGTTTTAAAAGTCGCGATGAGGGATGAGTTTACGGTCTGGAGGAAAAGACTATGCTTGGGGCATCGCCGGTCGGCTGTCGTTGGGGGAATAACAGTACTTTGAGCTCCATTGCTGTCTAAGAAAAGTCTGCCACTCACGTTATTACATATGTTAAGTGTGAGACCGATAGAGTTTCCAGAGTGCTTGGCTGCATTTACGCTTCGGCCAGGGTGTTGCTCTGCGAGGACTTGAAGGAGGAGGACGAGACACAATGGTGTCTTATTGCCAAACCTTACATGATAACAACATAGGTTAGCGGTCGTAAGGCGACGACGTTCACGGCTAAAGGAACATTGAGATAGGCCGGCAGATCAGCGTAGCTGCAAAGCGGCAACAGTCGCCGACAATTGGGCAATATGTGACTTGAGCTTGGCCAGGTTAGGGGTGGACGCAGTGAGAGGCTGTGAAACTTGAGTGACCGTCGTGGATGAAAAATGCTCGACCTCCATCATACGGTCGGCCATTTCCGCTAGTTGTAAGATGTCTAAATCATCTGAGCCAGAGGTCAAGATTGTTTGCACTGATGTAGGCAGACGTTCTAAAAACATCTCTTTAAAGAACTTATCGACGATAGCCATGTTTCCAACAACAGAACGCATACGACGTAGGAGATCTGACGGCTTGTGATCACATAAAGCCTCTTCTCTTACGAGTGCGTGATAACGCTGACGATCTGAAACTGAGGTCAGGCGAAGAAATTCAGCCTTGAGCCTCGTATAAGGGGGATCACGCAAAAATGTCTGCACTTTAAAGGAATGGTAGGAGGAAGAGCCTCGACCAAATAATAATATTTACCGGTTTCTCGTGAATCCTTTGCAGAGTAAACCGTTCCCTAAATATGGAAGCAATGAAGCTCTGGCGCATGTTGTTAGAAGTCTGGGAGGGACAAAACAACTACATTGAGAAAAGTAGCGGTATCGTTAAAATCCGTAGAGGGCATGGTAGTAGACAGAATCAAGGAGAACGGACTACATACAAGCAACAAATCTGAGTCAACGGATTAAAGGCGTAAGCGTGAACGTTAAAAGGGCCACTACTATTGTAAACGCGAAAGGCACGATTGCCAATCCCAAACTATGGATATCAGGACAAGACAGGAGTTATGAAAGAATTAGTAATTATATGTCAAACGACTTGATAGTCTAACACATGTCACGCGCGTCGCCTTGAGCCGATGTAATGACCGAGCGAGTAGCGGACGTCGGATCACGGGTAATGAAGGAAGGGGATGATGGTAGTTTGAACACAGACTGTCCAGTCGATTGGAAAATTCGGTCTAAAAGGCCTTGCACTTCAGAGTGGACGGGATTGGAATGGACAGGCGTACGGGATATATTATAGGTAACACAGATGATAAAAAGATATAAGCTTATTCGAGCATGCAAAAATGGAAAACTAATAAACTGGACTACGGAATAACGAAAAATACGATGGAACGACTTATCGGGAGGGTTGAGAGCTATTCATCGGCACGTGGCTTCGGAAGCGTAGGCCCTGCAAGGCAAACGGAAGAAGTGTGCCGCTAGTGTCCAGTAAATTAAAACACTAAAGGTCGGGTCCCTGGTCAGATCTCCGACTGTTACACCGAGCTCCTTCCATTCAGACAAAGAAACGGTAAGTTCAAAATGGTGAACAGGTTGGTAAATGCATGATAGTCTGGCGCCTCGGCACAGATGGTCAGCCCGAAGTTTGCACAGCCGAAAGCGAAAAGATTCATGCTCCGTTGCATATCCGGTTTTGTTGCGCTGTTGAGCGCTCGGTCGTCCTCGAATGCAGGCTGTGGCCAGTAGACGCGGATAGACTCCTTGGGGTCTGCATGTTGGCTGTCGGTCCCCCAGATAATAGAATAGAATAGAATAGGTTTATTGTAGCGCCCCTTGGGCACTGTCAGTCCCCTTTGAACTCAGGAAAAAAACCTAAAACAAACTCGTCAATTTCAACTGCACTTTGACTTCATTTGCTTCGGGTGTCTGGTTAGCCAAAAGAGCGCGAATTGAGAGTTTGTTTTAAGTTAAAAAAACCTCAGTTCTAAGGGAAAATAATAACAAAATTTTCAAAAAATAACGACATGTACAATATAAAATTGAAGTTTGCAGTTTGGTAGTTTTCGGGGGCATGAATAATATGTCCTTCATTGCAATTGAAGAACTTTGATATCGGCCTGACCTTGAAATTATTTTCCTGTTGGGTAAATTTCGGTTTGCTCTAGTGTAACGCCCCTGGACTTGGACAGAGTTGTTCGAATGAGGTGACACTTTTTGCGCGAGGACCTAGGGTGGAGATGGCGTAGTCGCGTGTCGGCGAAGATAACCGGTGTCCCTCCCTCTCTCTTCTGCCGATCCCTTTCCCCCTCGTCGTACCGTAACGCAACGTATCGTCCGAACCGCTCGCCTCCTCGCAACATCGGCACTCCCTCGACCCTTCCCTACAGTTGCCCCCAGCGCTGCGCTCCCCACCGGTTTACTAGCTGGCACGTTGGCATCGTCTCTCCACCCAGACAGGTCATTCTACCGATGTAACCGTCCTACTTGTACTATTAACGATTATTATACGATTCCCCGTGCGACCTCGTATTATTACACTTTACCTCTTATTCGACATGCCTTCTTCTTCTGTGTATGGATGTGTATCAAGGAATGCTAACAGCTCCGTTCAGGTCTATCCCGGCCAAGAGTCCTTCTCGGCGTTCCCTTACTCCGGTGTGTGCTACCCTTGACGTCCTCGGCCGCTACACTAGTTGTTGGTTGTCAGTCTATCTGGCCAGCTGTAAGGGGGCGGTCGCACAGTTCCTACGTATTTTTCAGGAGGCTTACCATCGTTGTCTGGACTAAGAGCTGCAAAAGATGAATATATATCAGGAGTAAGAAGCATTCAATGGTAAGTCACAATCAAAGCTGTCAAAATACTATTGAATCATATTGTTCTTGTTAATGTGAAATTATAGGAGTAGTGGTCGACTGTTTACTATGACCTAATATAGTTCTATATATGTTTAATATGGCTTTAATATAGACATACGCACGACTAATATGCAGGGTTTTATCGAAGGGTATATTTTTATTAGCTTTATAAGGGATATTTCGTGTCAGGTGACATGGCTGATGAAAACGAGAAAGGGAGGAAAATAGAAGAATATCATTATCTGTTCTATGTTTATCAATGTTGCTATCTTTTATAAATTTGATTATTTTTAGTGCTATGTTCCGGTATTTTTCAATCGGCTGGCATCATCAGAGCCCTTTTGGACCAAATTCAATATCAAAGAATTGACTTGAAAAATGTCCTATCTTATTCAAAAATAAATGTGTATTGTTATTTGAAAGGAATTTCTTAGTTTTTATTTTAAATTCGATTAGGGTTCGACTTTTCCGGATATAACCTGGAAGAGAATTCCAGATAGTCGCATGTCTTATGGTATAGAAATTTGATCGTTGGGACTTTGTGAATTTGGGAATCCTTATAATATCCTCGCTATTTCTGGTGTTTCTAGGGGCGTTTTGGTTGGTAAGTAAATTCAGTTTGAGAATATCTTTATCGTGGGTGACCTTGAATAGGAAGTTTAGACCATTTTGAAGTCGTCTGATCCAGAGTGGTCGAAGACCGTATTTATGATATAGTTCTAAGTATGAACCCTGGATGCCATCACTTCTAGACAAAGATCTAGTAAATCGTGTCTGAATGCCTTCTAGTTTCTTTCGGCCGCCTGAGGGCATTATGCCGAAGAACATTGAACAGTAATCTAGGAGAGGTAAAACATACATTTTGAACAGTTGTATTCTTAGTGCATTTAAGGTGAAATTTTTACATATGAATCCGCACAGGCGAGTGGCTTTCGGTGATATCTGTTGGACGTGGGGAGATAGATCAAGGGTATTTGTATAGCTGAGACCTAAATCTTTTACAGATTGGGTCTCTGTTATTTCATTATCCTCGAATATTATGGGGGGAAGTTTTTGTGGGCCAAATAACAGGAGATGGCATTTTTCGGGTGAAAAGGGCATCTGCCACTGACTACTCCATTCGCTGAGTTTTCTGAGATCAGTTTGAATTGTTCTATGAATATTGGCGACTGTATTCCCGTTATATGCATATGCAATTTTAAGGTCGTCCGCATATAAAAACGTCTTAGCTGAGACAGATATGGACGATAAGTCGTAAAAATATATAAGAAATAGAAGGGGGCCTAGGATAGTGCCTTGAAGTACTCCACTGGTAATAGGGGATGGTTCTGAAACGACGTTTCGAATTTGCACCACCTGGTATCGGTTTTGAAGATAAGATTTAAGAAAATCATGAAGGGGTGGCCTAATTCCATGACTTTTTAGCTTTATCAGTAGTCTTTTATGGGGGACTTTGTCAAAGGCCTTTCTTAGATCGAAGTATATTGAAGCTACTGTGTTTCCATCATCTCTATTGCTGGAAACGAATCCCAAGAAAGTAAGGTGGCAGGACTGACATGACTTTTTGGGCAAAAATGCATGTTGAGAGGAGGGAATGAGGTTGGCGTTCATGAGATGGTCTAGCAATTGGTTATATACTATTTTCTCGAGGATTTTAGCTATAGCCGGTGTTCGGTGAACACCACGAATGCTGATCCCATTATGCAATTAACGGTAGCGTCTATCAGCAGATCAAAGAGCATGGGACTGTAGACAGTGTGGACGAGTGCGCAGGCCTGCTTCACCCCATTTGTCGCTGAGAGTGCTTTTGATACTGTCCCGTTTTGCTGATGCAAGTGAGTCTTTTGGCGTCGTGATTGACAAAAAGATGTCCTTCTCCTTTCCGATCGTATAGGCGGATGCTGGTCGCATTTTCTGAATCCTAGGAGGCTTGTGCTTGCCTAAATCTCCTAGAATAGCGATGTGGATATGTCCATCAGCTGAGGTCCCCAATGATCGTAAACTTCGGGCGAGATCGCTTCAGACCCTGGTGTCATCCCCCTTGGCCAGTTGGTCTGAGGCGTTGACTGGTTCTGAGAGTGCAGACGGTCGGCCCAGGGCATTATGTGTTTCCACCATTGGGAGTCCGCTGATCGCTGCGTCGGAGTTCAGGGATGGGTTGTCGAGGGTAATTTGGAAGTTCTTGACCCAGAGACTCAGAATTTGCGTTTTCTAAGTGAGGCGTTTTGTTACATTGGGATTGTGAGGTACCGCGGTTTCTTTGGATGTTATGTTGTTCACCGGTCTGATTGGTGCAAAGAAGTTCTGGATCCCATTGCGGTACGCGCACACTTGATTTCTTCAGCCCTGAGATCAATTCGGCGCCATGCATCTCCCATGGCCGTTGTTGAACAAGAGGGTGACATGTAAAACGGCGCTTTGTTTGCGCCGGTCTGACGGTCGATGCAGGCTTTGTGCGGCTTATGCTGCTTTCGCGTCGCTGTCGTTAAACCATTTATGGTATTGACGGCGTGTGCGACCCAGGACGTTCAGAGAGGTGGTGCGGATTGTGATCCGCAGTTGATATCGACGAGTCTCCGCGGTGTTGTTGTCCACGGCCTGCAGTAATCTCGGTCATTAGGTCAACCGATTGCTTAAATCAAAGCCATGAACAGTCAAATTCGGCAGAACAGTACTAACTTCACTGACGATCGCGCGCGTCGTGGTCTTCGGCAATGTTGCAATGGGATCTTCACCATAAATATGGGAAGGCGGTTTTCCGTCTAGGCATCGGACCCGCGGGTAGCCTTGGTCTTGATCTTGCTTCCAGATGAGAACGCAGTCCGGCGGCCGTTAGTGCTAAAATGGTAGGTGAGTGAAAGTGATCTTTCCCTGCGTGTGAAGGCTGGAGAATGTGTTTGTTGACGGGAGACCATGCTCAGTGCAGATTTTCGGACGGAGGCCGTGGTTATTGCAGTCACCAAGAAGATGGGATCGCAGCGCCCCTCCTAGACAGCAAGGTTTATCCAGATGTGCGCACTGAAGTCATCAGGGACAACCAACTTTTCCGCCTTCGACACCGTCACCGGGGGCATGCAAGATGTCGCCGAATTTTATCATCGCCTCGCCGGGCTGGTCATCAGAGAAGGGTAGCCGTCGGGGACGATGACGAAGTTGGCTCCAGGAAGAGGTAGGCACGGGGTTCCGATTCGGTCGTTGGCGCCATGCGTCAAAAAGGTCATGCACCCCATCATGTCGTTACGGATGACAAAGGCAACACCAGCATCTCGTGTTCTGTCCTTGGGTGGCCGCTCTGGAATAAGGTATAGCCTCCACTCAATTCATTGATCTAGTCAGCATTTGAGTGGGACACCATTTTAAACTCTTTTTCATGAGAAAGAAAATGGTGCTGTCCCTAAATAGGTCTGTTTGGGTATCCTAAACGGCTGCCAAATTCCACTTTGGGTCAGAATTTGGTTCAATGGTTGGGCTGCCCAAGATTTTTTTGCTGCTGTTTGTCGCCCTAACCGATATGATCATGGCCTTCAGGATCGTCCGAGGGCTAGACTGTGCGCTTCAGTTTGACGATTTCTTCGAACTGGCGCGGACGACAAATCTTCAAGGGCACCAATACAAATTGAAGACGAAATATGCCAAACTCGAGTTGTGGGCCAAATTCTTCTCCCACCGGCTGGTTGAGGGCCGGCACAAATTGCCGAACTCCGTTGTCCTAGCGGAAAACGTCGAGACTTTCAAAAGAAGACTAGATAAATTTATGCTTGATGGTCAAACATTTACATGATATCAATGACTGGCATAACTGCTATGTAAATATCTGCATGTTTTTTATACGTCTATCTGTAAATACGGTTTTCCAAGGCTCTGCCTCTATCCCTCATATATACTGAACTATACTGAAATAGGGACGCGCGAGTGCTCGAAGCCAATCAACGCTGTCCCCACTATGATTGGCTGGCGGACGTGAAGATAACGAGGGGCGCACACACGCGCAGACAACACCTCGAAGGGGGACACAGACAACAGCTTGCTTGGAGCGCGCTCGCGGCGACTGCCTACAGAGCCCTTGTGTACGCACTTTCTCAGGCAGTAAAGGTTGTCCAACTCAAACCGTCTTCCCTGACTTTTGATTGGGAATCTTTATATTGTCGACCACACTACATTCGACAGGGAAAATGGTATAAGGAGAAGCATTGCCGGACACCCTTATCTGGCTTAGCCCACCAGTTGAGGCATTTACAGATAGGCAAAGTCTATCTTCCTTGGCCGCCGATGAGAGTTGTGTGTTAGTTAAGGGATGTGCGGAGCAGTCGCTACTTTCATGATTCGATCTACTACAGCAGCACTATTTACCTCCTAATTCGACAAGTCTATAATCCAACAACGACATACCCACATACAGATAAGCTCCGAGAACTAAAAATACAAGCACGTTTGATGCAACGAGCAGGATTTCGCACAGTCGTTCACACAAAAGAAATGGGGATGCAGTACCCGCAAAGCATGAAACATTTTTCTACTGTAACTTACAGAAACGACCGGAAAGGTGTCTTCCGGAAGATAATCACGCCAACGCGGCAAATTGTCGGTTTTATACTTTGCATGTATAGAAGTAAGGTTACTTCGGTCCATCAGTAGGCTCGGGATGCTTCACATTGCCTTTGAAGTTTTATTCAGTTTATTTGGTAAGAATAATAGGCAAACCCTTCGAAATCCGTATTGATTACATGCCAGCTCGTTAGAAATAAGTGTACACGAACAATGAAAATATTCGCTATTCAAACGGTACTTGATTAATTTGAGTACCATAGTCTTATAGAAAAAAATTGCGGGATCGCGGGGTAGTTGGTTCAGATTCAGACTGTCGAGGTAAAACGGAGACACAAATAATCATCCAGGCGTTTCTTGAAGGGTTGCTGAGACGTCGCCTCCACGACTGACTGAGGGAGGTCGTTCCATTTCTCCACTACCCTCTGCGTGAAAAATTCAGAATGAAGATTCAGCCTGGACATTGTTCTCCGTACCTTCATCGAGTGGCCACGAAGATTGGATGAAAGGTGCCACTGAAACATGTTCTCGAAGCCAAGCCTATGCTCAAGGCCATGTATTATCTTGTAGACGAGGATAAGATCACCTCTTTGCTGCCTGTAACACAGAGGCAATTCAGTCTGTGTAGGATGGGCTTTCTAGACCGTTTTGGAGTTTTGATGCATGACGTTGTACCCGTTCGAGGCATGTTTGGTCCTTTACTTGCCATGGCCGCCACGCTTGTAGGCCATATTCTAAGTAAGGCCAAACACAGGTACCGTAAACTCTCACAAAAAGTTCGTGGTCAAACGACACGAACGCCCTTTTGATTGCATGGAGCACTCCCATGGCGTTTTTTGCAGGCCTGTGGCACTGAAGTTTTGGTTACAGGTTGCTCTGTATCCAAACATCGAGATCCTTCTGTGAAGATTCTGCGTGTTGTCCTTCATCATTTATATGCATTTCGGTAGTTGGGGATGAGGTTTTCCTACCTTTACCCTTTCGTCGCAGATTGCGCAGACTTTATCGTCGTTTACATCTTCAGAACGATGTTTCTGTCCTGCCCTTGATTTGTGATATTTTTGATCGAGCTAAGAGATTGTCTGAAGAAAAAGAGCTAGCCGAAGAGGTCCAGTTTACCGAAAACCATTCCTTAAATGTCTCGAAACTTTTCTCTAGAAAAATACGAACTCATAGAAAGACGCAGCATCCCATCCTCCGAGACGCTCTCGGAAATCCCATAGTTGATGCCCAGTTAACCGCTGATAGCTTCAATGATTTCCTGTCCAAAACGTTCATTGAATAATCCACCACTCCGCTTCCGACCATCCAGCCATTGACCGGGACAGTTCTAGAAACTATAAGTTTCACTCTGTGGGATGTGACTGTTGCGATTCGGCGTTTTCGTCAATCTTATAGTCCAGGCCCTGATGGTGTCCCAGTAAGCATTTTAAAAGCCGATGCAAACACGATCTTCCCATCCCTCTTATGCAAGATATTTAATCTTGCTCTTGAAACTGAAACCTATCCTACCTTGTGGAAGGAATCACACATTTTGCCCATTCCTAAGCACAGACAACCTACATCATTTGATGACTTTCGGCCAATAAACACCCACCCCACAGTTTCGAAGATCGTAGAGACATTGATCAAGGATAAGATGATGTGTCACTTAATAGTGAATAACCTACTGAGTGCTGCTCAGCATAGATTCCTCAAAGCTCGGTCTTGTGACACCTGTCAACTCTCTTTCTTTGACTATGTTCTCCAATCTAGGGACAATGGTTTTGCTCTTTACACTGTATATTTCGATTTCACTAAGGCTTTTGACCGTGTTGACCATGCTCTTCTTCTCGTGAAACTGTCCTCTTTCGGAATAGGTGGCAGACTTTTGAATTTTATATCCTCTTACCTAGCACTCGTACACAACGCGATAAGATTTCCAATACCATCTCCAACTCCACACGTGTGAGGAGTGGAGTCATTCAGGTTAGTGTACTCGGCCCGCTTTTATTTTGCCTTTTCGTTAATGATGTACCCGATTTATTTCAGAAGGGTAAGCCTTTCGTGTATGCCGATGATCTTAAAGTTGCATATCGATATAAGCCGGCAGATCGTGACATCGTGCTTGAGCTCCTAAAGAGCGATCTACAGGCTTTCGCCCAGTGGTGCCGCACATGGCGCCTTTCTCTTTGTTGGCATAAGTGCTCAGTCATGGTGGTTGGCGACGACCACCAACCTCAACTAAATATTGAAGGTCACGCCATAAATGTGCCGAGAGTTATTAAGGATCTGGGCATATCATACTCCAAGAGTCTCACTCTCTCGGAGCACTGTGCCTTGATAGTCTCCAAAGCTCGCAGAACGACCGGGTTTATCCTCCGAAACTTTAAAACTAGGGACATCAGAATGCGCCTTTTCAACATGTACGTTAGACCTGGCCTGGAATACTGTTCGTTTTTATTTAGCCTCATGCGTGCTACTGAGCGGAAGAAAATAGAATCCGTTCAACACTTTTTTACCAAGACAATTTTAACCCCGGAACACCGACATTCGTCTTACCAAGAACGTTGCCGGCTTACAGGTCTTGATCCTTTATGGTTCCGTAGATTACAAAAGGGACTATTTTTGCTATTTAAGCTCTTATATAATCACACATTTAACCCACTCACCTCTTTAAGATATCATATCCACCCTCGACGTAACAGTCACCGTGAGGTCTTCTTATTTCTGCCTCTGGCACGTACTGTTAAATATCGTCGGTTCTTTTCTGTAAATGCAATTGCTATTTGGAATAAACTACCCGTGAGTGTGAAAACTCTGCAAAATTATCCTTTATTTAAGAGAACTATTGCTCGATTTTTGCATTCAGAAAAGCTTCCTGAAATTTTGGGTGCTGAATCTACTGATCGACTCTACCTAGGCGATGGCGTTTGTGGTCTCTGAACACTATGGCCGGTCTCACCAGCTGTTCCTCAACGCCTCTACTTTGACTATCCTCAACTTCATGAAAGGAATTGACGTCCGATAATCTCCGATACCGTGTAATCCCCTCCCCCCCCCCCTTCTTGAACGTCGAAAACTTGTCGCCAGCTGTTATTTTTCTCCTGAACCCTCCAAACCATAAAAACCAAAATCAACTATATTTTTATTCTTCAGGAGTTTTTTTTCACTGCTGGTCGGATTTGTGTTTAATCGCTTCTCTTGACAATGCCTGTAAACTGGCATTTAATAAATTAAATTAAAATTAAAATATATGCATATTAACTTTTCGCAGCCATTTAAATCATATCTGCCCATTCTGTCTCTTCTGTTGTGCGCCTCTGCCTAACTTCAACGGATTTCCTTTTAATTTAGTTCAGTTTATTAAAGGAAAAATGCGTGAACCTCTGAGTACCCTATTTGCAACGTAAAATTGGGTGGGATTTGCAGAGAAATTATCTGGGTTGAAATAATTCAAACAGGCCTATAATGGTATAACAAAATGCGAGTGAGTCTTAGGGGATATGCTCGATCTCTCATCGCTCTCCCATCGCTCATTGTATTTGTATTTGAAGGGTTGGAGACAGAGTTCTTGGAGACCCTATTTATGTATAATGATTTCGCATATTCGCACTCAAAATAAAGCTGAAAACACTAGGAATGCATTCGTCTCATGATAGAATTGCAATATTAAGAAAGCCCATCCGTCTACTGTGAGTCAGTTCGGAAAGACCGTGTATGACAAAGTGTTTTACAAGGCTGGTTGTAAGTATTCATGTTGCAAAAGTCGGTTTTTTTGAAGATTAGGTGAACAAGTTTTTTTGTTAACATAAGAATTGTGTCGGCCATCATCATCTAACTTGGTAGCCATTTTTGTGGTCGGACAACTCGTTAGCTGAAGGCGGACGTCCCACGGTCTAACCGCGTGCGTTCGCCCTTGACTTTGTTAGAATGACCACGTAATTGATTTGTATTGGCGCACACAAAAAAGTCCCCCGCTCTCAGTGAACGACCTTAGTCATGGACAACCTGGAATGTACAGAGAAGACGTCCATTTAGCTCCCTATGGGATAGAGGAAATAAACCAAGTACATTCAGCCGCCCCTGTTACGACAAGTGATGTAGACCTTCGACTAACTTCGTTGCTACGCAATGCACTTGTTCGAGTAAGTCAATATTCTTCTTTAACCATCGCGAAGCTGTTGGCACTTCTTATTCCAGGTGGAAATATTTTAATGCACATATGATTCAGTGTAAAGTACTAGTTGCCTTCTAGACCATCTTCCTGCAGTGTTCTGATGGCATTAGATTTGTAGTCGTCCATACATCCAGATCTCTGTGTCTTGCTATAGTTCATAATGCTGTCCCGTTAATAAAGTACTTATGTTTGGGAGAGGTTTTTCGGCTGGTGTTTAAGTGCAAGACCACGCATTTGGACACATTAAACTTCAGAAGCCCTCTGTCTGACTAAACGCTCAGTTTGTCGATGATCGATTGCAACTACTTTGCGTAATCACCGCACATGACTTCACTCCATATTTTTATATCATCCGCAAACATGAAAGCCTCGTTATCTAGTTCGCTGACGCAATCATTAACATAAATTATGAACAGTATTGGCCTGGAACAAAACCCCTTGTGACACCACTTTTCACCTTGGCCCATTCCGAGGGAGAGTTTACAATATCGACCTTGGATGACAGAAAATTCATCCAGTTAAACGTTCTTCCTTGAATACCTACATTCCAGATCTCCTGTAAAAGGGGCCTACGTTAGGCACTATCAGAGGCCTTCTTGAATTCAAAGAATATAGCATCCACTGGATAACCCTTATCGGTATTCGTTGTCCATTTCCTGTGTAAGTAAAAAGCACTCGTAAGGCAGAAGCGACCTGGACGAAGACAGTATTGGGTATCACACAATGCGTAAAATTCGTTTGCTAGTTCAAGTAACGCGTATAAGCCTAAAACAGATTTAGGTGTATAAAAGGTACTATTGGTAGAACAGGGCAATAACGAAAAACGTACAAAACTCAACAAAGGGCAACCTAGCTAAAAAATTCCTTTGTCACTGTTTGCACAGATCAGATTTCCAGCTAATGGTCAGGACATAAAACTAGATGATTAAAAGGATACCGATTATGCTCGAAAGAGGGTTACAAAAGGGGAAAGTTGAGTGTTAACGAAGGCCAATAATGGGAGCACTTGCGAAGAGGACGTGGAGAATCTCAAAAGTTGACCAACGGGATGCAACAAAATATTTTCTTTTTTCCAGGTATTTCATTAGATGACCTACGATGGCGCGCTCCAATTTTACATGCCGCGCAAGTATGGCCGACGGGACGACAATATTCTCAGTCAAGTCGTGAACCCCCTTTATGGGTCGGAGTGTTGTGTGCGCACTGCCATTCTTCCGGGAGCACGCCTTCTTCAAATGACTTTTCAAATATTGAAGACAATGGTTCGCACAGTTCATTAGCAATCTCACGAGATCCTAATGCGGGAATTCCATCCGAGCCAGGCGATTTAGCAGGATTCAGTCGGAGTAGTTTGACTCTAACTACAGCCGATGAAAATTGCGGTCCCTGGATTGAGGAGAGTAGGGAGGGGGCAAGAAGTAAAGGGGAGTAGAAAGGCACATTAGTTGGCGAACGGTGGAGGGGCAAATAGAGAAGGAGGTTCTCGAGTGAAGACGGACTGAAAAAAATTAGAAAGGAGGGCCTCTTTAACCTGGTTATCAGTCTCCAGTTTTCTATCTGCAGACCTGACAGCAGGGGTGAGTTCCTGAACTCTTTTAGTACTTCGTATATAGCTGTACATCATTTTTGGTTTCTCCAACGAATTTTGTTGCAAGTTCAAAACGGATTTCCTTCGCAGTCTGGAAGCCTCGCCTTTATGTGTATATGTGTGTATATATGTGTTGCGTTGCTGCATATATTCGCGTAAGTGGTCTTCGGAACCGGCTAAACTACAGCGCCTCCAAAGGCTTTTATTTTTTGAAAGAAGCCTTTAAGTCCGAGTCTGTTCACTCTGGGCGGTTTGCCATTGTCTTTCTTCTGAGTGGACAATTGGAATAAACAATCTCTTTCAGTAAGGAACTGAAAGTCTTGCAATTCTCGTTTGCTCCACCATTCATTTCTGTCTCCCATGATTTCGCTGCCGCTTCTCTACTGCAGAAAGAATAGTCCCCCTTCCGAAATGTTTCTCTTCTACGTATCCGACCAAATTGGTTTAGAAAAGAGTAAATACTCGATGTACAGCCTAGTGCGGTCGCTTGACCCTAATAGTGGTCTGTCCTGCAGGTTTAAAACATTTTCCGCCTCTTCGGTAGAAATAAGGTCGAGGCAGTTTAATTGAAGTCCTTCCCTAGCCTGCGTTCTAAAGGTAACGGCCTGACAGTGAAGTTCGTTCGTTGTCCACTGTAGTAGCTTGAGCTTTAAGTTGTCTTGCGGCCATTGCGCAGTCCATGTTTGTCAATCAATGCCAGGAACGTTAAATATGTAATTATAGGTACACCTTTCCTCTTACTAGCTTTATACGGTTAGCAGTTTTTTCTCCTGAACCCCCCAAACCATAAAAACCACCCTCATCTTCATTTTTATTTCTTTTCGACAGGAGTTTTTTCACTGCTGGCCGGATTTGTGTTTAACGCTTCCCTGACAATGCCTATAAACTGGAAATTATTATTATAAGTATAAAATCGTGGTCAGAAGTCTGGTTAGGCGGGCGGCACACCACCGAAAGTGTCAGTGATCGGACATACTTAGCTGATATGGTGATGTCTGATAGTTCTAATCTCGTACAGGATAATGTGTCTCAACCACAGCCGTCCACTTGCAAGTGACATTTGTCATGACTCCTCTTCCTCGGCATGGTCTATGTCTCCTGAATTGCCGTTATCCCCGTAAGCGATATATGTGAATCTGCGGAATTTTCAGAAAGCCACGTTCATGTGAAAGCCATAAGGTCTGGCTAACTTCACCAACTAAGTCTCTAACATCGTCTAGTTTGATGAAAAGGCTTTTTATATTTGCGGGAATGACCTTCAGAAGCCCGGCCTGAATTGTGTCAGGTTTTGATTATGGGAAAACTCCTCTGAATTATTTGGCCATTTATGATGTTCAGTTCATTCTCTCATCTGCCAATACCCTCCCTCAGTTTTGTTTTCAGTTCCTTCATTTTCAGCCTTTTTTCTCAGTTCGCAGTCCCGCTGAAAAAAAAACACTTTAGTTTATGCCAGATCCGTAAGGCCATCCCTATTCCAACAGAGATGCAGCCTGTTAAGGTTCTTTTTAAAGAACCTCGTAACCTGATACTAAGCGTTGATATTAGACAACCGCATTTTAGATCATCTAGTATATGTAGTTTTCGATAATCTGAAATGGGAAGCAAATAGTCTTTTCTAACATGCCTAGGATTTTTTAGGTTATCTTTATCCGTTTTAAACATTACTCGGTCTCCGCGGCCCTCGAGTCATCAGAATTGTCGTCCGACATTAAAGTCCAACCTTAGCATCCGACAAGAAACAACCGGTTTGCAGAACACAACCACATTCATACCTTACCTGTAATTAGACATTTAACGCACCGTTTGCATGCATGCAATATTCCTGCACCGGTATCACGCAAGGGATCCTCTGTGTGCCGCACTCGGCCTTTTATGTACAAATGATTTTCCGGCAAGTTTACACCCGTAGTTCTTCAAATCGTTAGATCTTGTGCAGCGATTTTACGTTTTCCTGTCTTTATATTTTTTAATTTTATTTTAGTAAACCCCGTTGGTTTGTTGTAATTTCATTTCCATTCCCGGTTCTTCTTCTTACCATTATCCAACATCCCTCCTGCTTCCTTTTTATTTACCTTCGGGGAATTTTTGCAATTCAGCTTAGCGCCCATCCAGGGAAGTTCTTTGCAAAAATTGTACTAAAATAAAAAGGAGCATAAATAACATGCCCTTTGGCCATTTTTGGGAAAATTGAAAAGCGTCGACCTATTTTCTGCAGTCTCCTGCGCCCATTTGATCACAGGCCGGGGTAGTCTGGAAGACGATGAAACGCAAGCTTCCCTCCGCAGATAATGAACAAATTTTATCTAAACGGCGCCACACATGTGACACTGAAAAATCACTTGGAGCTACCGTCCTAGATTTTTCGGAATTTATGTCTTCCTTAACGGCACGAGCACCATGCGTCTTGAGCAAGCCGTCCAGTTTAACCCCTAGGAAAACTGCTCCCTTATTAAAGAGAAGACCGCTCGTCGTTAATAGGGCCATTTTGAACAGCCCCCTTCCAGGAGATGTTGGCACCCAAGAGACGAAGCCCCATGAGCTATCGCGTACGCCTAACTGTGCACTCACACCAGCGGATAAATGTTTTTGTAACGTCCTGCAGAAGTCTGGTGTCGAAATTTCTTCCAAGTCTTTGGAATTTTCGAAGGTATTGTGGAAGCTTTCTTTCTTACTTTTAGTTTTATGGTAATTTTTACAGAAAGCACAGTACGAGTACCCCCTCCGCACCCTCGAAGTCTGACATCGGAGGTCAGTATAGTGCTCTTCATAGTTTTTGACGTCTTTTGCAACCTGCTCTGTTCAAGTATTGTACGATTTTGCGTAGATCTTTCTTTGTAGTTTACGTGGTCCTTTATCGTCTTTCGATTCGTTTAACACCTGTTCTTGCGTTGTACATGTGATCAACACTGATTTATCTAGCATTCCAACGTATTTCAGGTAGTACAATAACCCTTCTTAACAAATCTCTCAACTCACCCCTGGGAATCCCACAGTTATTTGGGACTTATTCTTTCCATTTTCGTCCCCAGGATGCCAACAGCTACGCGTATACGCCTACGTAGGCTTTATTGTGCTCAAACAATTAGTAAATGCGGGAGATGAATCACGGCGTTTTTATTATTTCTGCTAAAATTGTCGAAATGCCTCGAGGTCTTGACCGCTAAGCGAAGTAGGAAGGAATTCGTGTAATTGTTCGCGCAAGCCATGCGGATTCACGTTTTGTCTCTTATTGACTTCGTGACCTTTGGCTTTTATACCACAGTGAAATAAGCGTCATGTCTCACTGTACTTAGCGAGTTGCCTCAACCGCCCGTTCTTCGAGCGTTGCTTAAATTTAACAGTCATTTGTATTTGTATTTATTCGTCCTTCTTTAGCGACTTTTCGCTTTTTCTCATTGTATTATGCCGAATCTGCTGGTAGTTTCACCTGTCACTGTTCATCTGAATCTAAAAATTACGTGTACTGGTTTGGTACAAATAAGAAGCGGGATACCATGAACTCCATTCGAGAGCCTACTCAGGCGGACGCATAATCATAAACGACTCTTATTGTCGAGGTTTTACCTAAGAGAAGCTTATTTTGGTGCCGTGGAGGTCATTTGACCGAATGTTTTATCAGCTGGCTGATGACAGTAGAGCAACCAGAAACGATCTCTTCGCTGTCTCATGCCCTGGTCGATAAAACTTCCCAATTATTCTTGCTGAATATCAGATAGTCAGGGCTAAAGACCGAACCGGAGTGTTAATATCTTGTTCTGCAGTCGATCTACATCGATGAACGCGATTTTGATGTGACTTGCGGTGTTATTGGTCGCAGCCAGCTGCTCATGAGCACTTGACCTAAATTACTGGACGGTTGCCTCAGTATACAGCGGTTGGGGATTTTGGTTCCCAAATGTCTTAGATCTGACTATCTGACGACGGTTGATGGATCAGAACTAGCATTGCGATGTTCCTTCGAATTTTTAAACCGTTATCGTTGATATTATCGGTCATTTCTGAAGCCACACCCATAAACTGCGGGAGAATATGTTTTTCCTGTCTGTGATAGAAATAGGTATGTCCCATCCACACAATTTCACGCTAATCGTTTTCACTAATCCCTGCAGATGCTGTCATGCTTAGCTCCTCAGCAGCATGTCCCTTCTTGTGGGCTGATCGCTACGCTCCATCAACATTGACTAGCATGCTGCTTGACTCTCCCGACATTGAAAGTCTTGTTTCATGGCTGTCGTCGTGGGATAGCGATTCCAAGGTTTCTGGTATGTTTAAGACTTGATTCTTTGTTATTGATATGAAATGCTCCCGTAAGTAGGCTGTCATTTTCTTTTCTGGCCGGACTGCACGTGCCAATTAGGCGAAGTAAGATGCTGTCGACTGTTTCAGTCGTCGTCGACCAACAACTTACTGTTCATGTAACGTTTTGGAAGAACTTTTCACTATATATTTTTTGAGTACTCCCCGTTGGCCAGACAGGGATTTCATCAGAAGCATATAGCTAAAAATGCCCGCCAAGCACGCGCGAAGTCCCAGATCGCATTAATTCCTGTTTAGCTATCACATTACCAGCTTTTTATTCCAACATAACCGAGATCATCGGTTCGCTTCCTCTTCTGCTTCCTTTTATTCTGACCACCTAAATTCCCAGATGAATACTATTTGGCAATGCATATTCTAGATGGCTCCACGCAGTAGCCTTTCATTTGGTGTGTTTTACAAATTCTTTATATTGGTCATTTGTCATTTTCACTTTTCAGATGTCATCTGCGTGGATGATTACGATAGTGAAGACGGCTCCCCCTGGTATCAGCCTGCCAAAAGGACAGAACCGAACTCTCACAGACCCGCTTATTTTGACTTCTGTCCTAGTGAAGACAGTTCTGACTCCTCCGCATCAACCAGATCTTGGCGGTCCACTGCCTTTCTGGTTTTGGGCCCTTCCGGCTGTGGAAAGACGGCTCTTGTGTATGCTTTGGCTGCCAAATTGGCATTTAAGGTATTTTTCTGCCTATTTGCCTCTATCTTGCCCCCCTTTTGCTATACTTTCTTATTCTCTTGTCTGTGTAGATTTGCGAGGTCCATTATTTCCCAATCTGCCCGAGGGTTTGCGTAAAATCCATCCTGTTTCGCGATTCCCTTTCATGGAAGCTCATCTGTTTCTCTTCACCACGCTCCGTTGTGAAGCTGTTTATCGTTGTTTATTCCTATTGGGTGGACTTTCGTGTTGTCCTTATGAATTTTCCCCTCGGTTATTCTCCAAAAACTAACTTAGATGCAAGGATAAGCATCAAAATTGCCCACATAATAGCTTGCGCTTAACACATCTTTCTGATGTCATAGAAGAAGCAACCACAATTGGTCGCGGATTGTGTTTATTACTGGTTTTCTATTTTAGGGCTAGGTAAGTCGTTTATGGTCCCATTTTTAACTCTGATGATAGTCTCATTCCACTACTGCCCAATATAGGCAGCTCTAATCTTTTAAGTAAGCGTACGAAATGGTCTCCCGATTTGTACTTTTTACCGCTCTAAACCTCAGTCTGAACAGGCACGTCCACTACGGCAACCTCTATAGATTTTTCAAAAGGTCAACTTTTTAAATACTTTTCCTATCTCAGTACCTAGCGGAAAACTTTCATCTGCTTGAAAGTAAATCTCGAAGACTGGAACATCCACCTATGAAGGTTCGCTATTTTTACATCCCATTAAAGTTGAAATCTGCCAAAACACCTCTGAAAATAGAAGTTATTATCGCCCCCCTGCTCTGCGCCACGGAGCAGAGAGGTGGACTGACCGCTGCCCAAGTGCTTCTTGCCGAGTCGGATCAAGTTAAAATGTACTAGGGCATCTGGTTTTATCTCGTCTTTTTGTTTAACAGGGTTCTCTGCAATTGATTGTATCTTTTATTATAACTACGGCGTACAAAAATATTGATGACTTTTTATCGTCGACTTCTCAACACATCCTTCTGTGCCTTTATTAACTAATCGCATTTTTGGTTTTTTGCATGTTAGGTCTTCGAAGTAAATACATCCTCCTGTCGCTCTCGAAAGGACGTTTTGTCGCAGTGTTCGGCTCTCATAGGTTCGCAGCAGGTTTCTAAAGAATCCCTCTCCACATCCTTTAGTTCTTTTGAAATGGCCAAAGGTGTGTGCCCTTGCGTGTGCTCTTAATTCATATGCATGCTTCAAAATAGCCGGACTTAAATTCTTTCGATTACGCTTTTCCTTCTAAAGAACATTTGCAAAAAGCTGAAGAGAGAAGAAGGTCGCGCCCAAAATCATCTCGCCGTTCTATTGCAAATTTTTTTAAACCCTTGGCAAGAAAGTCGTCTTCCGCATCATCCACCGTCTCTGGACGGGCTGACAGCAGGAAGTGTGCTGCTCCGATACCCTGTTAGTTTCAAAGCCTTGTTTTTTGCGTCTGTGGATTAAGTAGTGCATTTAAACCAGATACACTGGCCGTATTTATTTACAGCATGACAGTGTCTAGATAATATGAATCCTAGAAACTTTGTCGTTAGCACGTGTAACATTCTTTTGATTTCCTGTTTGTTCCACATTTTAGCTAATGAAGGCCTCACGTTAACTAACAAATCTCTTGTCCTGTTTGACGAGGTAAGCTTATATTTGCTCCCGAATTTCCAAACTGTTTTTCAACACCTCGAATTTTATGCAGTTTAGTTATATATTCTTTCATCCTTTTCCGGAGTCAGGAGCCTCACATCAAGGAATACCACACTCATTTGTTCCGCCATATTGCTGCAGTTTTTTGTTACTTTTTAGGGCGAAAATTAAGTTTTTTACTGCTTGCGTCTTGTTTTCCGAGGTTGACGTGTTGTTTGAGTCTGACCGCGGATTTTGGAGCGCTGTGGGAAGCCTTCTACGGGTGGGTCGACGACCGATCCTCATGACTGCCTCCGATCCCTCCGTTGTCAACACTATTCCCATTCCTTTTCGCATTTGCAATCTTCGACCCTTTAAGATGGTATGTTCATCCTCTCATATCTGCACCACTTCTAGTGCCGGTGAATGTGGTGGCACTTTGCCTTTCTAAGAAATATCGCCGGAAAAGCCAAGCGATATTGGAATGATGCTTTTCGACTTCTTTGTCCTTATTAGTCGGGGACGCCTCAGCCTCGGATCAGGAAGACTTAGGATTTGGGCCTGTACGATGTTGGTAATTGGACATAGCACCATTTGTTGAGTCACGAGCTGGTGTCGTTGCGACTGCCGTCAGGGATATTAGAAGTCGCGGTAAAGTGACGTTGGACGTATCTGAGTGTCAAAGGTGTAAGAGTGTTCAGTTTTGCAATTCTGACCTAAAACCAATGCAGGAGATCGCCTAGCGACGAGCAATCTTTGATCAAGACTTATCAACAAGACAAGAGGGGCTGGAATGTCCCGTTCTGGCCTATTTACTCTCACCACCCAACCATACCTCAACCATGTGGATCCGGGTGCCAACTAGTCTCTTTCCTGTCAAGCGTCTTTCCAGAAACCTGCAGTTCGAGGCAACCTGCAAAGGTATAGTCGCACCTTTACGAGGAGCTGAATGAAGTCAGCTCTCATCCAGTCGCAGGCCAGATCGTTCACGTCGTTTATTTAAGATGCAGTTAATCAGGATACTTGCACTTGTTGTGGTTCGGGTCTTGCTCGATTCATTTGGCTCCAATGATACTTTATACGACACCATGCACTGCAGTCCACTACAACGGATCCGATGGGCACGATCACTGTGTTTTACCTCTTCAGAGACTCTACCATCAGACAGTTTCGATGGCAAGTTCTGTTGCTCACTGTCCATGAGGCTTCGATCGTGGTTATTTTGACACCTCGTCGTATTGCACCTCTTAAAGGTGTTCAGAAGGGTGGCCGGATCCTAATCATCATGTACAATTTTATCCTTCCATACTTGTTCGACTACCTCGCGTAGCCTAGGAGCCAGTTTTCTGACAAGACACGCTTCAGCGATCATTTCCCCGATCCTGTTTGTATCGTTGCGCACTCTCATTATTAGTTCCTTTCTCCATTTGGAGGGATGTCATGCAACATTTTGCTGTTTGGAGAAAGACTAAATTCCACTCCAGGAGAGAAAGCGATGTTCTGACTATTGTCGTCAAAGAAGAGACGGCGCTCACAGTGTTCCTACCAGCTCTCCGAGCTTTCCGTAATGGGGCTGCCACTCACTCGTTGAGCAGTCAATTGATGCAGCTCTGTCAGTGAGCTGCCTGACAAATTGATAAGGTTTTCGAGTATCGTCAGCTTTACAAACGGGTTCCACAAAGGCTGTTGCCTTTGTCTGGAATTTTTTCCAGCCTTCTCTAACCGATTTTGCCGTCATTCTAGGCAATTGGTGGCAAGAGTGATTTTTACAGGATTTATGTCGAGTTGTCAGAGGAAAATACTTCAGGATCGTTGAGTTGCTGAGTCAATACGGCGTTGTTGATTGAGTCAGATGACGCTTATATTTGCCTCGCAGGCCTTACTGGCTGCTCCCCTCTTCTACCCCAGCCTAAAGGTGAAACCAACTATATGGATGCCACTTCCGTGTGACGGATAGAACGTCGACTTATCTGTCACTACCGGAGCGTTAGACCCTAAGCTTAGTGAATAGGATTCGAATACCATATCATCCATTACTAGGGTTGAACTATGGTTAGTTAACGGTCATACCCGAGACGTGGCCATAGTTGGCCACCTTTGTTGTTAAATCTTGCGCCTAGTCTTCGCAATTGCGAATTTTTGGCCAACCGTAGATTTGTCAGAAGCTAGCGTCTTTGCCAGCTCCGAAAGCTAGTTTTCCATACTTTTTGTAAGACATACAATCAAGCCAACTCAAATCAACTCGCGCAAAATGTTGAACCCTCCTCCCCCCATCTGTTTTTTTGACGAAATGACTTACATCTTGCATCTGAACATTTCATGTTAGACTGCAGTTGAAGCATTCCTCCGACAAATCTGCGATCGGGAGACGTGTTTGATCAGCCCTGTTCTTCCAGACCTCCTAAGCAACCTTCACTCGGGGAGCTCGGAGGCTATTCTCAAAAAGTCCGATTCTCAGACCCTAGATGCTCGTCTACTAGCCTCAACTGACTACTTCTACGACATACGGAGGGCCCTCAATGAAACTCACTTCTACGCCTCGAGCACAGCATTCTCTTCCACTGTTGACTACGTACACGTTAGTTTTCTTCCCTACTGTCATTTATTTTTCCTGATGTTAATCATTCCCACTCTGCTACTGGTTGTCTATATTTTTGCTCACTTTAGTGTTTTGGGTTCAGTTTTTTTCGCGTTGTCTCACCAGCCGAGTTTGGTGGCATCCTTATGAGCTGTTTTAGCCAGGTGCTCTGCTTCCTCTGGTGAAGCATTAGTACAGTTACATAAAAGTACAGGAACTGTAACCTGCAAGTTTCACTTTCGATACTGCTATCGAAACATTGAAGGGAATTTTCCACTTCTTCAGATTTTTTAGTCGTGTTCTTTCTTTTTCTAGTCCACGAACGACAGAGATAAAGACCTCCTCAACTCTTTCATCGAGCGCTTCCCGTGTCTTATGAGTCTCACGGTTCCCTCCGTGCGCTCTTCGCCTCAAGAGGCCAATTTACTGCCAAAAGTCAGTAGTCAAGCCGACGTGTTTGAGGGCATATTCGACTCGGACGCGGATTTTGCAGAATCCCCCAAAAGGTCCTCCACAGAGAGACTAGCAAACCGGTCATCAGCGAAAACCGTAAGTTGACGTCTGACAATTCATACACCAAGGTACCTCGTAGACCTGTCGGCTTTATGCATTTGTCTCCTAGATCGAGGAGCCTTTGCCTGTGGACTTTGTCCACTTGCCTGTCAAACAGTGCAGACAACTTGCATCTGACTGTCTGGCATGTCTCGCCAGCGCATGCGATATGCAGTCCCTGATTGATGTATCGCACGCCTCTTCTTTGCGTCGGCAGCATTCGGCAGCTGCTAAAATCGCTGATGAGCTTTTTCAACGATCTCAAATTTTATCAAGGGAGGTGCAGACGAGTGGCCTGTCAACTGCTGCCTTTGCTTCCGTCTCACATCTCTCCGCCGGTCCCTACGCTACAACTTGTACTTCCTTCGCGAGCCGTCTCTCCTGCCTTGGCGACTCCTGCGAAACCTTAACTGGTGTCGACCCGATTGGTGAAGGGTCTGCGTTCCGCGGCGAAAGGACCTGGCGAGGCTTAACTTCTCTCGTCCTTGGTAAAAAGATGGAATATTTGAACTCTGTTCAGCTACCTGTTCAGCCTCCCAGCTCACCACTACCAAATTTGTCTGGCTACTACAAAGGAGGATGCGTCCAACCGGATCTCACGTATGTCTTGCCTTTGCCTTTATGCATGGTTATCAGTCATATCCCCAATTGCGGCACAATATTCCGCACCCTTCCGTTTTCGTTGGGATCGGAAATATTCTCATGGAATTTTCTAATCTTTGTCGGCTGATAGAGGCGGAACTTCTTCATTGTTCGCTGTGTATGACTTTGCGTCTTGCACGAGTCACTGGTAAAGTGGAGTGTCGTGTTGCACCATCTATCCTTCGCACTAAGTTCCATCGATTTGCGTGTTTACAGATGTGGGGAAGGCTTACTAGTACTGCCCGAAAGCTCTGTGTTCGCGCACCTGATGGCTTTTGGTCACAGCCTTTCTTAGCTTTAAAATGCGTAGGAGAAGCAAGAATCGGTGGAGCTTTAAAATGCGTAGGCGAAGCAAGAATCGGTGGAGTCGGTGTTAAAAATACAAATTTGGCCCTGGTTGTCAGATAAGCGTTGATTAATTTTGATACAATTTTAACCTTGATAACTTTGGCTGCGCCTCTATGTTACTCATGCGAAACGGCCATTCTTTTAATCGGCATTTCAGCACGCATTATTAACTCGTCTTCCCTTAACGTTATTCGTTTGTTTTACAAGCCGTTTTCGATTCGCCTTAATCATCCACTTTTGGATCAGCCTTCGTTTCTTAGTCCGAATTTTACGAGAATCTACCTGGAGTTAGTAACCAATTGATTCTGGAATTTCCACGCACGTTAGATGGGGACATTGTTATCTTTTTTTTAATATCCACTTTATTTGGGCATCCATCCCCGTTTGAATCTGGAACTCCACTGTTTTATATTTCGAAAAGTGCCTTGCACATTGGAAAAGCCATCTCCGTATGATGAAGCGACGCTCACTGATCGAGTTACGGGACATGCTCGTCTCGTTGTGTCTTGGGGCTCAATCTCGAACCCTTGCAGGTAGCCACATAACGACTAGTAACATATGCATATGATAGAATGCCGATAAATACGAGGGAGGCCGGAATGGCAATTTCTGGCTTACTAGCCGTCACCGACCAGTTATACCCAACCCCAAAGTGTAGAACACCTGGGGCTCGAACTCGCGACCTGTCAAATAGAAGTCCAACACCTCTAACCACTGAGCCACGGCCTATCTCATGCGCTGCTGTGCGGTTGATGGTTGGGCCCAAGAGTGAGCCCATAAGACACAACGGAACGAGTGAGTTCTGTAAGAACTATCGGTGAGCTCCCCTCTACCACCTTTGACAGGGTCTGTGTTGTTCTTGTGCGCGATGCGATTTTCCTGCGAACCACCTTGGATACGAACTGGAGATCTTTGGCCTTTGAATCGAACGTTCTACCAATGAGCCACGGGCTTTTTGTCCCGTCGGTTGTGATCAGGAATATTAACTATGATGAAGTGGCGCTCACTGATCAAGTTACGGGACATGCTCGCCCATCATATCGGGTTGATTAGTCTTTTTAATGTCCAATTGGATATAACGGTCTAAATTAGGGCAAGGCTAATATATGCAGACAAAATGTGGTAGACAGCAGAAAAATTACAGCCCTACAAATGGCAGTCCCCTTCATCCAGAAGATCAAAGAAACGAATTTGGTGATTCTGCCACCGGACTCGGTCTACGTAGTTACTGGTCTATAGGCTGCCAAGTGACGTTGACTTTGGTACAGGTGAAAGTGAAGACAAGAAGTCGAGAGAACAGTTGTTTGCTCCGATTCCCAGTGTGAAAAAGGCGCACGATAAAGTGATCGAATAGGTAAATGCAAGTTGTCTAAATGAAATGGTGGTCCGTAATGCCTCCAACGCTTTTTAGCGATGGCACAACCGAAACCAGACACTCGAGATCCAGGCGGTGGTGTTCTGGTCACTACCAGGCACCAACATCGTACAACGACGCAGTCTCTTAGCACATTGGTGGTTCGCCTCCTACCTGGCCGAACTGCGGGAAATGTAGGCCTCACTTCAAGTGACGCCGGATAGTCCAAAGATCTGTTTGGTACACAGGGCTACAGATATTAAGTCAGCCCAACTAGGGCACTGGTGCCTCGAGAGTGCGCCAACACATGAGGACGGACTGCAGATCTCATTTTTGAGTTGGTAGAGGGCCTTGGGATTAAACAAAACATCGTAGTGGGGAAACGAAGTGTCTATCTCTGGCGAGTTTTTGCAGTTCGGCAGAATTTTTTCCCAATCTACTTCTGTTGAGAATGTCATGTTCACGGTCTTAAGTAATTCTTAAAATCACGTGCAAAACGGAGTTCTTGCATAAATATGGCATCTCCCCTTCTTCTGCAGATATTTTCTTCCACTTTAAACCAATTCACCGACCCAGGTGAATCAAATAGGTTAGATTTTTTACCAACCTTTTCTTCTACTCCCCAGGTGTGCTAAAACAACTGCTTCTCATAGCCTCTCCTCTATGGACCTCATGCGACGCAACCCAAATGTGACATGGGCCCTTGGTCTGCGCGAAACCTCTCAGGAATACCTGTCAAGTCTGCGCGCCATTGCTCGGCTCGAGAGCGATCGACGCTCTTTTTCAGCTCAGCGGCGGTATGACCTCATCTTTTCTACTGAGATACTTACTAAATTTTTGATAACACTGGGGACAGGGAAGTGTTTTACGTAGGCAACTGGCGGGATATGGCGTCCGAATGGCGGTCCGCGTGCACTGTCACGCCCGGTTAATTTCTTTACGAAAGTGTGCTAGCTTTTAAATGAAAATCTCATCAGTCGCTGCAGGTAGCAGTCAGCAAAAGACCAGTACTTATGCAGTGTGCACCTCTTTCAATTTAATGTTGATGACCCTGCAAACCCGACCATGCTTCCTAGGCAAAGATGCTCGCCTCGTGGGAAGGCTAGGTTTCCTTCCTGAAGTTTGGTGTCTGAAAGTGCACGGTGTATTTGCACGAAAATCCTTCTGACTCATGACTTGCACAGGTTATAGGGAGTGTTTTCAGCTGTAAGCTTGAATGCGGCCGTACACGAATATATATTACCATTTGTAGGCACAAAGTTGATCTATCTCATGAAATGTTAACCGAAATTCTGGGATTTATTTTTGATTACCTATTTGAGGTTATAATATCGATCCTTGTGCAGCATAGTCCCAAGTTGTTTGAGTCAGGACAAAATCTTGGCATTTGGATGAGCTTTTTTCTGCCGCATGCAAAAACTACACGATAAAAATGACTACTTATGTAGTATCGATTTTCTCTACTGATGGTTGATGCCCTTAGAGATTCCAGCATAATTTGTGCAACGCATACACGAAAATATTCTTTCTTGTGCTCTCATTTGGTAGCAGACTACTTCTTCAAATTTCGCGCTTGAAGAAAAAGCACCTTTCGATTTTAAAAAGTTTGCACTTGTGAGATGTTCAAGACGGCGAAACGCCCGGTCAAGCAACATCGTACGCGTACGTTTCTTAGGGCTGCTTATGAGGTATACAACATGGTTCACACTCATTGCAAAATTTTATGAGCCCCTTATCACATCTTCCTCATAGCTTAGAGAAATGCATGACTTCCCCTACACAGAAATTATGCAGCATGTTGTTTGGAAACCCTAAGAGCGAGTTTGGCTGCAGGTCGGGTTCAAAATTTTTCGGCTTTTAAAAAGTTTTTACTACCTAGTGATATCCTAAATGAGTACAAGAGGGAATGTGTTCGCGCTTTCTGTCAAGTGTACAGTAGATAGGCCATCTCACGTGATGTTACCCAAGATTCTAAAATTTTTATTCAAGTAGAAATGAATTCCTTACGTAGGGTCGTAAGGCTAACCATCCCGCAGCATAATCACGCCGTATTTCAGTCATGTCTTGATACCCACTTTTGAGCGAGCCCCTTTTCAGCCTCCTGCCAATACGAATTTCAGCAAAAAGTGGCTACTAGGTAGTATACATTTTTCATATTGATTTTCGGCACCCTTACATGATCGAATACATTGTACAGAAAACATGCGCAAAAATATTCTTTCCTGTGCCCAGTCTGTAGTAACTTACGTCTTTGTCAAATCGCATACCTGGAAAAATGATAGTTTTCGCTTTTTAAGAAGTTTCTAATTTGGAAATGTTTTACGACCGTGAAATATCTACCCATGAAGCATCGTGTCCGTCTATTGATTAGTGCCGCTTGTAAAGTATACATATACAAATATGCGATCTTCCATAGAAGAAAACTATGCAGCTTGTAGCTTGGAAACCCTGAATGTAAGTGCAACGGCAAGTCACGTTCGTTATTGTTCGGGAATTGAGATCTTTGAAACCGAAAGATACGCTTTCTTTGAGTATAACATTTGAAGAAGACGTAATCTGCCACCAAATAAGCACAAGGAAGAGTATTTTTGCGCACGTTTTCTGTAAAACATATTTGAATTTATAAGGGCGTCGAAACTCACTGGAAAAAAATTCATACTGCTTGAGTAACTATTTTTTGCCAAGATTCGTACTAGCAGGCAGCCGGAAAGAGGCTCGCTCAAAAGCCATCATTCTGACATGACTGAAATATCTTGTAATTATGCTGCGCGGTTGTTAGTCCTACGATCCTACTTAAGTAATCTTTTCTAATCGAAGACAAATTTCAGAATCTCGGTCAACATTTTATGAGGTAGCACATCTATTGTGTTTGAGCTTATCGATCTTCGAAAATCCATGGGGAAAGTGCATACGACGTAAGTAGTCATTTTTTACAACGTGATTTTTGAAGGCGGCCGGAAAGTAGCTCAGTGAAATGCCGATATCATGGTGTGACTGAAATGTCTTTGAGCCATGCTGCACGAGGAGCAGTATTAGAATCTCACCCAAGTAATCCTTTATCCAAAGCCACATTTCATGAGGCTAGCCAGTTACTATATACCTAAGTGCTTCTATAAACACTTTACGGGTCTTCGTGTAAACGTAACAGGATCTTCACCACGCAGACTGCCTGTTACCATTTAGGCGCTTGGAAGTCCTCCAGAGCTTACCGTATGTATCCACGGGCACTGTTATTTTCTGGGATTTCCTCAAACTTCTTTAAGTAGCAAGGCCTTCTACTTGTTTTACATCGCATTCACTCATCTTGCTGTCAATCCACAGGAATGCAAAATTAAAGATTAGTCAGTTTTGACACGGACGTTTTGTTTCGCCGTCTTCTGTTGCTGCGGAATTATCTGTCAGGATTGCTTTCGTGTATTCCGCTACGTTGCATTTTCGTCAGGCCGTTTTTTTAAGAAAAGTCCTTGATATGTGCTTTTTTCAGATTCTTCCACTACTTCGACAAGATCGGCCTTCCTGAGGAACTGCGTGCCAACCTCTCAACTTAGCAGCTGAAACAGACATCACTCTTCCGCCTTTTTGTACTTATCCATATTTTTGTACTCTTGAGGAAAGATTTTGACTTTGACTGTTTCTGCCTTTTAATGGTCCGCAGTGTCTTCCGGCCCCGTAGTAAAGATTACCCAGCACCATGTAACTGCACAATGCTCAATATTACTGTGACTTGTATATTAAATGTTTCTTTATTTTATTCTTGTACTTCTTCTGGCTGCCGAAGAAGCGCTCTCGTCAGACCTACAAGCTTCTCCTCTCCGCCCCCCAAAATCCTCGCACATTGTTCCTGCCTTGACCAGCAAAACAACTTGTGCACTTTGTTAGCATTGTCAGCTTTAGGAAAGTGACAGTTCGACTGTCGTTTTCGACGACATCGACCGTGTACTCCACAGCAGGCTGGAAGAAGAGGTGGAAACTTGCTCGTAACTTTGTTTATAGTGACAGTGAACCTTCTCAGCGTCTACGCGCTTTCATCCTACCCCAGCTGGGGCGGGCGTCATGGCAGAGTTAAGAAGGCCGGGGGTGGGGCAGGGCAAGGTAGCTGGCAGGGGAAAGCCGACACCTTAGAGCCTGTCATCATACCGGCTCGATCCCACTGAGTGTGAGGACCATAGGGGTCACATTAAGAGGAAGCTATCGTAGCCTGACTCGGTTCACCAGTCGGCCATTCCATAGGAACACTGAGCTGGCTGGGAGGTCTGGGTTGAATATTCCCTTTCGCTTGCGTCAACTAACTGATGCTGACGTTGGGAAAGGTGGTTGACAGAGCTAAGAATGCTCCGTCTGCCCGTGCCACACAGCCATGTTCCCCATGCGTACACCAGGACTTCGCATGGGGTAGACGAATCCGATGTACTTTGTGTAGGTGAGGCCACACGGAAAAAGAGCCGGCGAATATACTGCTCACATACGTGAGATGTGTCTGCTTTGTGTGGTGTTAGAGATGTTCATGTGTGGTGCATGCGTTCAGGGGGCAGCGTGATAATGCTGTCTAGTCTACGTTGATTTACCACGGACCCTCGCAAGGCCACATGTGACAGAGTAAAAATATTATATGACTAAACTTGCGAGGGCAGCTGAGGGGACGGCGGTGGGCGCATGTTGGTGCTCCAGGCACTGTTTCGGCAGTCCCTGCGACGGATTCGCGTGTGACCCGACTGGCCGGCACATGAGGTGACTGCGGTTGAAGTTTGACAGGATACATTGGAAGCTGGTGAGTCGGTTGCAGTGGTGATGCGGCTAGCGGTGCAGTGCCGGTGGATGGTGTGTTGGTTGGGTTGAGGATGAGAGAGCTGTGTATACAAGTTGCGCTTGTTGTGTCGATACTGCGGTTGGTTTCATTGTGTGGATACGCATGCGACCGAACAGACCCATTTCTGGATGAATGTGCGTGGGCAGTGGGGGCGGATGTGGCGAGTGCTTGTTTGGCTCCTGGCACTGGTGCGCTGGTTGCCGGGCGATGAATTCGCACGTGACCAGCCGGGTCGATACGTCAGGTGAATGTGCGATCGCAATGAGGACACGTAGGGACCGAGTCCACATCGCTGGTAGCGAAGGGCGGTGATAGTAGGGGATGCGGCTGGCGAGGCGTCGGGAGTGTTCTCACTGTTGACGGAAGTGGGAGAGTTCGTAGTCGTCATTGACGTTGTGACAGAGATGAGAGAGATGGAGGTGATCGATGGCGGTGCGGCATAGGCAATATGAGAGGGGTGATGTCTCGTTTACTACCTTACTGAAGTATTAGTAGCCATATTCAATGACTGAATATGTCATGTCAAGACGTGACATGACTGTCACCCACCTAGAAATACTGTGGGACGCGATACCACACTCACATCCGACGATGGAGGCTTGTTTGCTTTTGAAACGTCAGGACAATAAATCTTTGGTTCCTGATATCGCCTCTTCTTCTTATTTATGTTCGGGGACGCGCAACTTCGCTTCTACTAGCATATATCGATGTGCCTAAAGATTCGAGGTCCAGACATCGTATCGCGTTCATCATGTCCCGAAGAAGACGAAGAAGAGACGGCGAATTCATTGACCATGAATTCGCCCTCTCTTCTTCTTCGTCTTCTTCGGGACATGATGAACGCGATACTAGCATATATATGTATGTTGGAAGGCGGGCATTCTAAGAAATATAATTCGAAGTCGAATATGTGTTTTGGGAAAAGAAGTTGATTGTGTAAATTTTCGACGCCAGTCCCCCAGGTCGTCGTCAGGCACTATGGAGAGCAAATGCGCTAACACAGTTAACATCATAAGTGCACTTAAATAACCGATAATCGTTTGCCGTTCTTGCCATTAGGCGGCCGTCGTGTGTCAGTCCCTTATGATTGGCGTTCGCTTCTTCCATTTCTCCTTGTGATTTCTGTACTCGACACCAAACTCGATGTGCCGGTTGACGCATGATTCGTCTGAGTGCATGGCCTTGAGGAAATCTCGGCCATTTTTGAAGGGGCAGGCACCGAAAATCCGAGTTCTGTCCCAAGCGAAGGCCTGCCTGGTGTCCAGTGTATACATGGTTACTTTAGACAGATGGTCTCACCTCCTTACTGCCAACTGGTGTTCGCGAATGCGTGTAGAGGCGGATTTTCATTTTTGATTACAATATGCTGCATCACAGGCCCCACACGGGATCTTGTAAACGACGTCCTTTCTATCCAAATAACTGACCCTATCCTTCAGGTGTACAATATGGGTGCTAAAGGTAGTCGTCGGTCTGTGTGCCACCTGAATTTGATGCTTCCTTAAGTGTCTTTCAACGAGTTCAGACACATTTTTAATGTAAGGAAGTGTCCGCCAAGTTTTTGGTTCGGGCGGCTGATTTGGATTACCTGGCTCCTTTCTCTTCGACTCTTTCTTCCTCATGCATAGTCGTACAAAATCTCTAGGGTACCCATTCCGCGAAAACAAGTAAAACGAGAAATTTAGCTAATCTCGATAGCCTTCTTTATCAGAACAATGTGTTTTCGCTCGACTAAGCAGAATGTTGATCGTACTCCGTTTTTTGGGTGATAGGGGTGGTTGTTCTCACAGTGCGGAATGACCTCCGCATAGGTTGCTTTGAGGTACAACGATGTGCGGAATGTTCCATCAGTCTTCCGCTTCACGAGCACATCGAAAAACGGGAGTTCTTTGTCAATTTCTTTCTCGAGTGTGAATTTAATTCCCGGCATTGTTGAATTGATCGTGTTGTTGAGCGTTTTCTGTTAATCATTTTTAACGATCACAGATACGTCGTCTACATATCGCAACAATAACTCCGGGGTTAACTAACGGAGGATCCGTGGCCTCTTGTTTTTGCATTGTAATCTCGGCGGGGAAGCTAGAGATAGGTGTTCCCATTGGGCTTTCCTTTCATCCGTTGGTAAAATTGTTGGTCGCACGAAAAGTTATTTTCCATACACAGGTCTATGAGTTCGAGTGAGGCAGTAGCGGAAACATGCGTGACATAGGAATTCAGGAGATTCTCTGTGTATTGTTTTATCAAATCCAGCGGTATGGACGTGAAGAGGGAGACGACATCGAAGGACACAATGATCTTGTCGGCAGAAACTGTGGTTTCTCTTAATCTCTTTAGGAACTCTGTTGAGTTTTCAGTCGGAATTCCACAGTTCATAGTAAAATAATGATGCTTATGGAATAACCACTTAGAAATCATGTAGTTGGGTGCCCTGAATTTGGCCGACTTCGTCCTGGCAGGTGGTCGTCTGTTCGCGACCCCTATCGACCATACGAAGCTTTTTTGCTTTGGGAAGCCAATAGATCGGTGTGCGCCCATTCCTGAGTGAATGAATACCCGATCTGCAGCGGCACACAAGGGCGGGTGGCGACGCACTGACGAACTTCGGTTCGATGAAGTGCTTATGACCCATCTGGTAGAGCCAGTGGTGGACCAGATGCGCCAGGCGTGTTTGTGCCCGTGTTTGTGTTTCCGGTCCCAGCTGGTGGTCAGAGTTATGATTGGCTGAATGAAGGCAAACAACCCCGAAACAGTGCTGTATCAATCTACCCCCGCCCCCCCCCCCCAGACTATATATATATATATTGAACGATCATTGAGTGCGCCCTACCACTGTATATTCCCGATCGAAACCGACAGGGCAGCGGGCTCGTGGCCCAGTAGTTAAAGACGTGAACATCTAACTAGCAGGTCGCGAGTTCGAGCCTCGGATGTTCCACACATCGGGGTTGGGTATGACCGGCTGGCGACATCTAATAAGCCAGAAATGGCCATTCCAGTCTCTCTTGTCTTTGTCGGTAATGGCAATCTGCCTATATCATGCGCCGCTGTGTGGCTGCTGGTTGGGTTCGAGAGAGAGCCCATAAGGCACAACGGACCGGTTGAGTTCCGTGTATATATATATGCTCATGGCGTAAGTCAAGAGTGCACTAGCGGAGCTGTAGTACGCATGGCGGTTCCCGCGCTCGTGTTTTATTTTTCTAAATTTTGTCCGGACTACACAAGCATTTTTTAAAACTTACTGTGAATCGCGATATTAGTTTTGGATCGCGTTTAGCCCTAGGGGTTCAGCCTTGCATTTGGTAAATGGAGCACCGAAAGGGGCCCCAGTAATACCAACAAAATTCAAAAGAAGTACTATTGGACAAGAGCCTCGAGCTAAATGTGGAACACTGCAATTTTCCGAGTTGCGGGCTGGATAGATACAAATGATATAAAAACCTTAGCTGCTCATAGAAAGCCAAGAGAAGGATAACAAAGAACTTTGAGAAATTTGTCGGATGAATGAAGTATGATGTTCTCCTTTATCGTACCGGACTGGAAAGACTATTTGCTCTTGAGATAAAAGGGCTGTATATTGAATGTCGAATAAGTAAACGATGGGAGTGCGCAGCTGAGGCATGCAATCTGGGCACTGTGACATGTTGAAAAACGTTCGGTATTTGTTCTTAGTTAATGCGCTACCAACATATCCCTTCCTACCACCCATATCGCCCGTGAATAGAGATTACAAAAAATAACTTA